CCACGTATAAAGGGATAAGATTGTGCCTTTAAACATTCACATAATGTTTTAGAAAACAATAACAACAACAAAAAAAACTTTTAATAATGTCCATCTTAAGAAGCTATCTAGAAAAATCCAGAATAGTTAACGATAAGTTAGAAACACAATACATACGTTACTGCATGAGCTAAATTGACTTGTTTGTTCTTTAGATGTGAGATGATTGATTTATGGAGATAAAGCTTTATATATTGGTCTTGCACTTATGTAAAACTAGTTACGTGGTTTATCTGCTTACTCTGCCCTACTGGACGTCAAGTGCTTAAATTCGTCTTAGGTGAAAATTAGCGACTTCATCTTCTAATATTGTGCCATCTGACGCTGTAAATCATCTCGGCGATGTGCATAAAGAAGGGTATAGCAAGACACTGAATGGTCATTGAGTTTTGAATCTTTTTCTTTCGCTAAATTCGCAGTTTACTCCAATGAAATCACATAAACGTTCAACTGATGTCTAGTACCCGAACATTTATAATTATTTGGCAAATTCGTAATAATTTACACCTAAGAAAATCCATAAAATCCTTTTAGGCTTACAAGTACAGGTTGACCATCACTAGTCCGGCAATCAGTAATCCGGCACTAATTTCGGCTAGAACAATTTCAAATACAGTAAAGCAAGATACGCGCTATTAGGTAAATACTTTAGTCTCGCTTGAAAGTTTTCTTTCCAATATTTTCTTTGATTAAAACTTAAAGAAAACCCCGTTTTCTTTAAGTTGGCTGGCCGCTACGATTTGGTGGCGCTGTTTGCAGTATCAACAAACTGGAGTCAGCTGTAAACAAAGGCAAGCTTTTCCTGATTGACTTTTAACATTTATTATTGTAAGAAGGTCATTTTTAGCCCCAATCATGGCTTCAATGAATAATAGAAGTGCTTCTTGTGATGTAAAGCGCAAACACCGAACATTGTCCATAGCAGAAAAGGTTGAACTCTTGAAAAAACTTGACAGTGGCGTGTCTGTGAGAAGTTTATGTGAATTATACAGTGTTGGGTCTTCTACAGTTTATGACATAAAGAATCAGAAAGAAAAGTTACTTAAATTTTTTGTTGACAGTGAGTCGAAAAAAACAGATGTTTAGAAGGAAAACAATGAAACCTGGTAAAAGTGCAGAACTAAATCATGTAATGATGAGGTGGTTTAAGTTGCGTGAAAGTGAAGGAGTCGAACTGTCAGGTGATCTTGTGAAGGAACAAGCAAAACTATTTCACGAAGAACTCGGACTGGAACATCAGTGCGATTGCAGTGAAGGATGGTTGCAGCGTTTTAAGGAACGACATGGCTTAAAGTTTCGTGCAGGGTGTGGCGAAAAAAGATCAGCTGACAAGGAAGCAGCTGCAAAATTTGTTGACGAGTTCACCAAGTTGGTCAGTGATGAAAATTTAAGTCCTGACCAGGTCTATAACGCAGATAAGACTGCACTCTTTTGGAAATGTACAACCAAAAGAACACTGAAATCGGAAGATACAGAATCGCCGACAGGTTATAAAGCATCGAAAGATCGTGTTACTGTGCTGGGCTGCTCCAATGCTGCAGGAATACACAGATGTAAGTTGCTGGTCATCGGTAAAAGTTTACGTCCTCGAGCTTTCAAAGGTATGACACATTTTCTTGTAAATTACCGTGCCAACAAAAAAGGTTGGATAACAACTGAACTGTTATTGGATTTGTTTCAGAACTGCTTTGTCCCCGAAGCAAGAGCTCATTGTGACTCTGTTGGCTTGGACCGTAACTGTAAGATAATGCTTATTTTAGATAACTGCT